GGGGGGGGGGGGGGGGGGGGGGGGGGGGGGGGGGGGGGGGGGGCGCAAGTGACTTTGTCGCTTTTCATTTGTCGTGTCAGTCCATTATTCGCGGTCGTTTTTGGAAGCACGCAAGAACCACGGGAGGCACTCTTTTTACAGCCACAGGGAAGATGACACCCTCCGGCCGTTTCGCAACGGTCTCGCGTGCACGGTACGGCAGTCCGCCCTAGGGTGGGAGGGGGAGGGCAGGAGGGGTGCGGCAGTCCGGTCGTCTCACAGCACAACACGAAAACATGACCGATCAACATCAGCACCAACAACCACAGGGTAACACCAACAACAGCAACAGACCGGAAAACGCCAGCAAACAGCGAACAGTAAATAACACCAACAATCACACCAGACAACGCCAACAAACACCAACAAGAATGATTTGTCGCCGCACCTGCACCGTTGGGGCCGACAATGCACACCCGCGACGTCTGGTCCAGCCCGAAGTTGACGTCCTTCAAGATGGTCGGTCCGGTGGGGTACTTAAAGTTCACGTCCATCACCTCCAGGACGGGGGGGCTCAGCGTCGATACCTGCATGCATGTGTCGCGAGACAAAACAGATAGCATCAGAAAATGAACAACCTGGCACCCGTCCGCGTCCCTGCCAACCCAATGATGGAGGCCGGCCCGTCAAGCACCAGGACAGGGCCGGCCACCACTCGCGCACAGTGCCACCAACGATAACAACACCTACCGAAAAAAAACAAAATAATAATAACAACCACAAAAAATATACAGAAAGCAACCGCGACATATATGTATACCATAGACTATACTTCGAACAACAACAAAAACGAAAATAACCCCGACGCTTACCACAAAAACAAGACACAAAAAAAAGACGAGTACACCCACCACAAAAGAAAGAAGCAAACAACCGCGACACCGACACCGGCGCCCACCACCAAACAAGCGAACAACCTAGAGACGACGATTACAGCAGCAGCAGTGGCACGCCATCTATTCTTACACTGTACCTCCGGGAAGTGAAGAGTCACAACGTACTCCCTCGGCCTCTCGACCAGCTCGGTCTTCACCACCTCCCCGGTACCGGCGGCCACGGCGTCGTTCTTCTTCTTCTTGGAGCCCCCGGGCTCGCGGAACTTGCTCTTCTTCACCTGTCGTACATACAGTACACACGTCGCGTGCGTGCGTGGGTACGTGTTGTATTTTGTATTTTCGACGTGCAGCAGTGGGGGAGGGGGGGGGGGGGGGGGGG